TCGTGTGGAGGTGATCGGCAGAAGGCGGTCTCTCAAGTACCTGGATCCACTACCATGAAGGGCTTTATAGGTGGCAAGTAGCACCTTGAAGCATATTCGGAGATCGACAGGTAGCCAGCGCATCTCGCGGAGGATAGGTGTTACGTGGGTGAAGCGAGGTGCACCCACAATCGCTCGCGCGGCTGCATTCTGGACTAGCTGACATCCCATAGCCGCATAATCCAAACAGATAAAGAATACTTTGAAGCATTGGCTAAAGGTGCTTTTTTCTTGAAAAACGAAGTCCAGTTGCCTTTTGAAAAAAGCACTTTTAGGACTACCATGGCCTGCATGACTGAGAATCTCCATAGATATTTGAAGTATTGCTTATCATTCCAAGAGGTATCATTAATGAATCCAAACTTTTTTTTTTAGGTTTAAAAAACAGTTTGGAAATCTCCCCTCCCAACCCACTCCTGGAAAAGGAATAAAGCTTTTGTCTGTATTCTGCATGCTGTTTCTAAATTTCCAATTTAGAGAGTTCAGCTTCATTGGAATAAATTTAAAGATAATTGGAAAGAAATGATAGGTGTACAAAATAAACTCATTCATTAAAATGTATCACTAAATAACTTATATTTACGTATAGGAGTCTAAGCCTCTTGTAATTCTCCCTCTCAAGCCAAGAAAAAAACTATCAGAAGGCATCTTTTCATTTTTAAGTCATTGTAGTTTAGAATTATGTCCAACCCTCAAACTATAATTAATTCAAATTATGGTCTATTCTAAATCAACACACTGATTTTAATTAAACTATATTTAGTTTTAAGGTTAGTTGATATTAAGATTTAGCTGACTGAACACTGGCTAATTGAAAAGGTACTTGAAAGAATAAGGATGCTTACAAAATCTGCAGACTCATCATGTAAAAATAGAGTATAGTTTATTGCTACATTCAAACTAAGCTACAGTGTGTAAGTTGCTTTGAATTGTAGTTTTAATTGAAAATGTATGTGTGTGTGTTTCCTTGAATGCCTGATCATTTTTTCCTTAGTTTCCTGTGGGACCTCATCAAGTTCTCCTGGGGTCATCTCAGGGTTCCAAGGGATATAAAGTGAAAAAAATCTTATGTGTGATGTATCTCCCCAATATATTATAATTGTTTGTCTTTTTCTGTATTTATGCACCTTTATGCTCAAATGTTTAGATATAACTTCCTTTATATATAAAATGCTTCCTCTGCTTGATATAAGATTCAGTTTAAAGACTTTTGGGTCAGACTTACAAAGTATCTTCCCAGTGTATTCTTCACAGCTCTCATGAAATATATCTCATCCCTTGTCAGGCATCTGTCTTCATAGAAATTGATACCATGATTGAAGAATCCAAAGTATTTACATAGTCAGTTGTTCACTTCCAGTATTCCTCCTTGTAGTGTTTTCAAAGCATGAATGTCTTGGATCAACGGAAGGATATTTTTCTTCTTGTTCAAACAGATTGTCCATTTTTGCCAGGTCTATGGAATACAATGCCATAATAAGAAAGGCAAAATGAGTCATCTGTTCCATTTTCATTCATTTGCTTCTTTAAATATTATTAGAAAAGTTTGCACCAGGCACATATAATTGGTTCATTGACTAATTTAAACTATGACTTGGGTTTAGTTGGTCAACATTTGTTCAGTGCATTGATTAGACTTTTGATCTATGTTGCCTTTATCAATTTTAAAGCGGTATTGATTCAATACATAGAGAAAAATTGTGGGAAAACTGACAGTTACAACTATAAATTGCAATTTGCTTCATTTAATTATAATGATGTATGAAAACAACTGTATTCAAGATTGATGTGTGGAGGTTTCTTTGTTTCAGTACCTATTTTTAAAAAGTTAAATGTGCATACTTGCTTTTCTCCTTTTCATTTTTATTCCTTCAATAATGTCCTAAGTAAAAGCATGTTTTATCACCTAATAATGATTACTTGTTACAATATGCGTTTGACAGCTGTTTGTGTTCCCCTAAGTAGAAAGTTTCTGTCACTTCCTCCTCTTTGGGGCAGAAGCTTGAATCCGCTCCTTTTCAGAACTGAACAGTCCTCTTCCTCAATCCCCTTTGGAGATTGAGGCTTTTGGCAGCAGATCTTCAACTGGAGGACTAGAAATAATGTTAGCAAGAAGGCTCTGGGATACTTTCTAAAGCGGCAGAGGAAAGAGCTTTCCCTTGTGTCAATTCTTCCTTCTTATCATCCCTTCCACTTGGCTTTCTTCCATCATCTTAATTAAACTATAATTAAGTTTATAGACTTTTTGGTTTTGTTGTCTATACTAGACCTTTCAGTGCCCAATCCAAGATTTCTAATCTTCCATAGTAAATTTGAGGATGAACATTTTGTTTTTAGTCTCTTCATGCCGTCTGCTAAGAAGGCATTTAGGTTGTCCTATCCTTTACTCTTCATTAATTCTCGGTTATATTATATGGAATGCTAAAATTAGCTATTTATAATGTGCATCTTAACTTATTAGGTTTGAGACAGTGACCATTTTCATATTTGAGCAACCTCAGTGAACAAGAAGTCCTATTAGTCATTTATACATATACTACTTATACATTTACTAAGTGTTCATAAGGTTTATGGATTTTATTTAGGATATGCATGTGTAATTGATTAGTGATAGTTATAAGGATAAATAGGAAATTGCTTTTGGGGGTGGGACAAAAAGCTAATTATAGTATCTCTCTATAGAAACAAATTCCATACATTTTGCTATACATTGGTAATTATATGGTAAAGTGCATTAAATGGAACTTCTTCCTCCTAGAGAGACAGTTACGGTCTTTCCAAACAAATAAATACTTTGGCATCTTATAAATGCTAAAACAAAAGGCTTGTTGAATTATAAAATAGATTAGCTCTAGAGCTTCCATTGCCTCCCATTTTGGTTTTATAAATCTTATCTCCCAAATAAATAAGAGAAGAAAATAAAATCCCACCTTCTCATCCCATTTCTCTTCCATAAATATATTATTTTTTTCACAATATAAATCACATTTCCAACTTGTTTTTTTTAGTTAAAGATCCATTTTAGACTTGTAAATCTGTTGTCCAATCTTTATGAAAACTGAACAACAGGGTTATGGTAGTATATTATCATATCTTTATGTGGAAAAATACTTTATTAAAATTGAGCAACATTAATCTTTGTATTATGCCACTCCAGTGGAGATAAAACCTGTAGTGTTTACAACAAAATATATGGCTTTGAAATCTTGAAATAAGTCATATGAATTCCTCTCAGATTGAATGGTTCAAAGTGGGAGAAGGTTGAAAAATGAAACCAGGATGTTTAAAATGATTTGATTATAGTGGCTGAAATATAAACAGTTGTGGTTGGGTTTGATTGATAATATCTTAAATTTAAAGTAAAACTTAAAATGGATATGAAAATAAATGTGGTCAGTTAGAAAATAAACATATAAAAAGGCTAAGATAGATTCTCCAGAATTTATAAAAAGTATGTGATAATTTGATGTTAAAACCAACTACCTACACCTTACTTCCTTCCTTCCTTCCTCTCTCCCTCCC